TTGTTGAATCACCACTGCTTTCTGAGAGTTTCAGCACATCTCTCCCCAGGTGATGTCCTGGCTTTCTGGCATCACAATCTCGCATTTTGAGAAGTTTGGAGGTTAGGCAGAGATGACAAGAACCTCTCCCCCACCCGCCACCCTTGTCAGCCTTACTGAACAGGCAAGCTGTGAAGTGAATCTCATTGCTTTGTGAATTACCATATGCTAAACTAAACTTATGCATTCATTCATTTATATAACCTGCAGCTCCTGGGCAGCTAATTTACCACAGGCTTGGTGCAAAATGCTGGAATGGATGCAGCCACATTGCCCACAATGAGGAAGTTCATTCTAGAAGCTGGTAATAAGGCACTTTAGTACTTATATGAATCAGAACTTCTCTGACAGTGAAAACTGCCATTAATAATTATGTCAGCACAGTGAGCGTGAACTGGAACTATCCTGGGCAAACCGGGACAAATGCGGCCCTTATCTACAGGGGTAAGCATTTTGCCGATAGCTTAGGGTGCTGGTTTCAACCAAAGTCATTTCCAGCTAGGTTGCCATGGGAACAGAGGTGCATACTCCCCCAAGATTCCCAGGAACCCCTTTTCCAGTGCAATTCCCTACTCGTAGCCAAATTCATAAACAGAAAAGAGCAGATTTCTGTTCCTAGCAATGCCGCACCCCAACTTCTCCAGCAGCCAGTGCAGCTTCACCCTCTGTCCCTCTCCTTTTACCACCTCCATCGCACCTTGATAAAAGTGGGGCCACTCCCAAGTTAGAGTCTCCACTCTCTGCTTGTTAAGCCATTCCACGGCTCTTTTGTTGCATCTCAAGTCAAATACAGAAATTCAGAAAGGGTTGTAGATAGAATCTTTGTCCCCAGACCCTGCATGGTTCTACAATTGGAAATGTCATGTTTTGTCTCAGAATGTGAACCTTTTTCGGTGCAATTTCTGAAATTTCTTTTGGGAGGCAGTTGTAAAAGTCACACTTGGCTAAGCAATCCTGAGAAGGAATCATTACATCCAGATCCAGGTTATATTTCCCTAGAAAGCTTATGGGAAGAGATTTTCATTAAGTGCGTAGAAGCAGATTATCTCATTTTGGCTGAAAAGAACCTAGTGACACGATTTTTCACATTCTCAGCATAGAGACTCCCTATGAAGCTTTCAATTTTCCCCTGGGTTTCTGCACCGGAACAAGGAGGAGAGAGGAACTCAGAGGAAAAAAAAAAAGAAATTGCATCCAAGGGGAATTACTAAGGCAGCAAACATTGAAAGAGGGTAATATACCTTATCTACCTAGCTATCTCCAACTATCAGTATCACCAGGACTCAGTATAAATGTTTGTCAAATGAATACATAAATGAATGAATGGATGAATGAAAAGTAATTAAATTGTTGTGCTTGAATTGGTCAAACAACAAAAAGAATAAACCTCAAAAAATGTCCATTTTGAATGATGTTCTCAAAGCAAAAGAGAGACAGAATTGGGTGTCATGATTCCTTTGGTTGGTCACTGACCTGGGTACCTCCATGTCTCTACAAACTGGTGAGGCTGGCCAAGGTACAGGCATGTCGGTCAAGCCTCTTTGCAGCATACAGGGCTTCTCAGAATCATTGTGATTCTGAGAGGCTCTTATAGTGGGCAGTTATCATCTTTGCCTGTCCAGCATCCATGCCCCTTTCTATTGTTAGGAATCCATTAATTTTCCTCTCATGGATTTATTATTATCCACTCCCAATCAATGTGGTTCAGGTGGGATTTACTATACCTTTTGTATCCAGTGATGGCCACATGGTTTAGATATGTCCAATCGAAGTCATGGTGATTGACTTAGAGATGGGAACATCATCAAATCTGGCTCAATGAGGATCAGTCCCAGCACTTTTGCTGAAACTATCAGGAAGGAGCAATGGCTGTCATTCTGCTAAGCTGGGAGAATGTCAACCTGCTACTGCAGGTGGCCATATTTGTCACTTAGTGGGAAGAACCTAACATGGGCTGATAAATTCTGAGAGAGCCATGGCTAAAGTTTGCTCTCTGTGCACTGAAACCACCCATGGGGTGCTCTAGCCCTTGGTCATATATTTTTGCCAACTCTCTGCTGTCCACACTAGGTGATAGACTCAAAGGCAGCAAGTTCACAAGTTTAGGGCCATAGTTTTTTCATTAGGCTGTCCCCTTGTGTTTGGGTTTTCTGAAGGATCCATGTTGAGCCTTTCTTGGTGCCCAGCACATTGTCTCTGTGAACAGTGCATCAGCATTCTGAGAATGCAGCACACTTTGCCTGGTGGGGCTGTTTCCAGGTTGGCCTCAACAGTTCCATGAGTCAGGGGCTGGACTAAATTGCTGTCAGGACCCTCGAAGTGGTCCCCTCATGCCTAGTCTAAACCAGCACTGCTCAAAATACTCATCCACGAACTATTTGTTACTGGTCCATGATGAGGTAAGGAGCTTGCATCAGAACATATATCAATATGCTCTTTATTTCATAGGGAGAGTCTTACTACCAAAAAACCTTAATGATATGATTGTTTCACATGATAGTACAAGTTCTTTGAAGACCAATAGTGAAAGAATTCATGGACTAGTAGTGGTCTGCAGATCACATTTTGAATGACATTGGCTTAAACCACCCCAGATCCCACAGTCACACAGGAAAGTTAATCTCAACTGCAGTCAAATTCCTAGATGTGATCATCTTGGTACAGGGAAGCCCTGCCATATTCTGAGACTGATGGATCTATTGCACTGGTTCTCAACTTTGGCTGCATATTGGAATCACCTGAGAAACTCTCAAAAGATGAATTCTACCCTTAGACAGTTTGATCTGATTGGGCCAAGGAGAAGCCTGGACATTTGGGGTTTTTAGAAGTTCTGCAAATGATTATAATGTGCAGGCAAGGTTGACAAGCACTGCTCTAGATTAGTGGTTGTTCAATGTTAATATGCATAATAATCGTTTAGGTAACTTGTGTGAAATATGTTTCTGAGCACCACTGCCAAAGACTCTGATTCAGAGGATCCTGGAAATTGTTGTTGTTGTTGTTTTTCTTAAACAAAGTACCCAGGAGATTTTAATGCAGGTGGTCCATGGACTGCAACATTTTGAAGAACACTGCTATAGCTTATTCCCTGGACAGGTTAGATCAAGGTAAGCTGCAATAAGCAAGGATTTGAAGATAGTTTTAAGTGGCTGAAATGTTGAAGACTTACCAGGTACACTTGTTTCCTTTCTTTCCCTGAAGATCTCAACTCTAAGTACTGTCATAGCAGAAAAATGGGGAATGAACTGGTAATAGTGTCCAGTGAAATCCAGGAATCACTGGCAACCTTAATTGCCTTACAGCTTGCCAATCTATTGTCAGTAATATTCTGTCTTATTTCATATCTCTGCCTCTGAGCTCTTAAACCAACTTTCTCTGCTTTGGCCAGGCTTAGGACTGATCGGTTCCAATGAGTAAATCACAAAGGCATTCTGATTGAGTAGGGGTCCCCCCATCAGCCTTTGTACAGAGTGGAGACATTTTACTAGTTGAATGGTTTCATAATGGTAATGAAGCGAAAGACATCTTTAATCAGGATGAGATTGTGTATCCTTTTAAAGGTTCATATTATGAGCCAACCTCAGTTGGTCCAGGAGGTTGAAAGTCAGAGAGAAAGAGCAATCAGTCTCAGTGATGAACAAATTAAAGTCAAGAGAGTCTCAAAATGGGAAGTATTCACATCTCCTCACCTCCTTCTTATTGATGAAGAGCACCTAGCTCCTGGTAATCCACCTCATTAGTACCTGTGTGATTGTGGTGGCTTTAAATTCAGGCCAAGAATAATGATGTTGTTTAAATTTAGAGGGCCATGGGCCATGGGGACCCATTCTGAGGTGGGCCACTCCTCCTGGTCTAAAATACCTGAAGTATGAATACTTGTTCAGGATTCTCTGAGCAAGAGAGAACAGTGTATATTAACAAAAAGTATTTTCAATGATTTCTGAAATAAGTTTTTAATAATCTCTAGTTCCTATATCATTGAAAAGTATTTTCAATGATTTCTGAAATAAGTTTTTAATAATCTCTAGTTCCTTAGATTTTTAAGTTAAATTCAATATACATTTTCTCTCTATGGGGAGCCTTCCTTCCTCCTAAAAGCTGGCTATGTATAATTTGGAAGTTCTAATTATTCCAATTTCCCATGGATATGTTCTGATTACCCAGGACAAACCCAGTTTACATCTGTTGTCCTTGTATAATTATTAAAAGCGTCTCCTTTCAATCAAAAGTGTCCCAGCTTGGGTGACAAATTATATTGTCACTCTATCCTTGGAGAATTTTTAAATTAGTAAATCAATCAATATAAGTTTTGTCTTTTTAAAGTAATGTTTGTATTTCATGAAGTGAGAAAGCCAGGTTAGGAAACGGAAGTGAGAGAGATATTTGTTTAAAAATAACTATTGCAACATTTGCAAAGTTTTCTAAGATGAACTTAATAAGAATCCAACAATAATTTTTAAAAAATCTCTCAGGCATTGAAAACGTTTTGTTGGAAACTGTTGACTCCTCTCAATGCCCTTTCACTTGAGGAATCCACACTTGCTACAGGCCATCAGATAAAACTGTAGTTGAATTTTTAAAAGAAAAAAAAATTGTTTTTGAATCTTACGATGAGCATCTACTACTTTAGCTAAGACGAAAGAGAATCAAATTCTTTGTTCCAGGGAGGAACCTCAGGAAATGAGAAGATATAAACAAAATGTTCTACCATGAAACTATTGTCCCTTGAGCAGCGTCTGATTCAAAAAAAAAAAAAAAAAGTCTTCAACATTGAGTGGATATGGAACAGAGTTGCCAGTCCCTGCCACCTTGCTTTTTCTCTCTTTCTGGGTCACCACTAGGCTCAGCTTCCAGCTCATTTTGGCCCACCTTTA